GGGAGCCCGATGCGGGACTCGATCCCGGGACTCCAGGATCATGACCTGAGCCGAAGGCAGTCGCCTAACCAACTGAGCCACCCAGGCGCCCTCTGGGCAGTTTTTGAGTGGGAGAAATGCAATGTTGGCATTTCTGGGACACCATGATTGATAGAGGAGACAAGATCGTGTATTTAGGATCTGGGCTCTCTCCTCAAATTCAGAACGTGGGATCACTGAAATGGCATTAGAACAGCAGGCCATGCTCTGAGCACTTCAGACTAAGAAAATGGTTTAAACTGTAATTTAATGTGTATGAGTCACAGGGTTGGGGAAGATGGTAGATGCTGAAAATGTAAGCTATGCAGCCAGATTGGTTTCCCTCTATAACTAAGTTGCCAAGGAACACATAAGCCAAAACTGAACCCCTTTACAGAAACTGGCATGCTTTGGGAAACCGGGGACACCTCACACTCTTTACCCTGATTCAAACATTGACCACTAGGCTTAATCTCGTACATTACTTTTACTAGGCATGGCATACATCCTGAATTAATTCTTTTTTGTTAGATTAGCGTTATTAACCTTGCTTAACAATTAACATTTTTTCAAATTCTCTGGAGATAGCCACTTCGCCATCAGAACAAAGGCATAAGCTACCTAGAGCAGTGCCACAGAAGAGCTCTAGCAGAACCTCTCCCCTGCTCGCTTGGGGGCACTAAGAATCTGAATCCACAAAGTGTGTTATCAGGGACAGGCTTTGTGACTCAAACTCCTGCCTTGGTCTCCTGACCCCCTAGCCCCTTAATGCAACTGCCTCCTCCTCAGGCCCCATGCTCTTCTCCCGGGAGCCTCTGTAGCACCATCATGTGAACAGAGGAACCTGTTAAGCAGATGTATCCTGTAGCTTCTTCGCTTCTCGCAAAGAGTAGTTCTTGCCTTACACTGAAGCTAGAGGTCTCTGTCAATAACAAAATGAGTAGGAGGGTGGAGGTCGGGATGGGCTCTCTCAGACCTCTAGCTGGGTCACACCGCAGCATCTCACACTCGAACACGAGCTTCCTTCCCTGCTTTCCTCAGCAGGGTTCACTCGGTATCTTTGGCACTTTGCAATTTCATCAGCCCCAAAGAAACTCCCACCTCTTGGTTTTCTGAGTAACCTTCCAGCACTGTTTTTTCTGAACCTACTCCTCACTGATTTGGTGACCTCATTTTCTATGCCTGTGAAACTCTCTGATCATACTCTCTGATAAAAAGGGGAAGTTCACTCTGCCTCCACAGAGGTTCCTGTGGGGCCGGGGCTCTGGCCCTCCCAAGAGGCAGGTCAATCCGCTGTCTGCCGTCACTGACCGGTGGGACAGCAGAAAACCCACAAGATGTGTTGGCATCCTGGCTACAGCATCCGCTAACCTGGGCAGCAGAGCAGTTCTGCCTTCCCAGGAACTGAGTCCAGCACTGAAACATTCGGGCCACATCTCCAGAAGGTTCTCAAGTTCGTTCAACGCACATAACTTAGGCCACTTCCCTGGGTGGTAATAAACTCATGCCTGTTGCTAGGCTGACAGATTCAGCAGTAATATCATGAACTGCCCCTGGACCATATAAATAATGAAAAAGATTCCATTAGTCCCTACCTAGTGCTTTATTTCCTAAAGTTACAGAAAATCACACTGTGTTGTGTGTTTTTTGGATCCCAGGTACCTGGAGGGTGTTTTCCTTTCAGTTTCCTTAAATTCCAAGTAATTACACTGTCACCATCCTTTACGGCAAGTGGGGGAAACTCCACACACTCTGTTCTCTCTGCAAATGCATGGAATCTGAAACAGCAAGAGATTTGCAACATTAGGCTAGTAGTGCTATTTGTGCATGTCTACTCATTCTCCCAAGACCGTGAATTTGCTCTGCTGTGGTGCCGAGCATCTTAGATGTTTCACGGCTATTCCCTGTACCTGGTCAGTTCTGCCAAAACAAAAGACAGGGAGGCAAAACAGAAGAGCGAACTGTGAATGTTATTGGAATTTTAACGCATGACTCTTCTCTTCTCTTAGAGGGTAATTAACCCAACCAAATGGTATGTATTGACCCTGGAAAAATGATACCCTCTGCTTTATATTTATCCTTCTGTTCCCAGGGCTCAATCATGTCAACAGAGTGTTGACAAGCCAACAGTCTAATGAGGCCTCAACAGTGCCCACGGCCCTGTGGGTTCAGTGTTGAAAGCTGGTGACAACAGGCACCATTGGCTCATCTGCCAATTGCCGACGGGCTTCAGTCAACTTTAACTCGGCAAATATGCATTTCCCCAGAAACTAAGCGGAAACCCTAATGAAAAGAATTCTTGTGTGGACAAGTTTTTAGGGCCTGACTCCTCAAAATGTGATCCGAGGGGCAGCAGCAGCACCTGGGAGCTGCTTAGGAATGCACATTCCTGGGCCCTACCTGGAGCTGCTGAGTCAGAATAAGCACTTGAACAAGATCCCTGGGATTCAAGAAGCACTGGTGTGGTCTACAAAATGAGGGGCTAAGCACACCCTTGACAATCTGGAATCCAAAAAGTCAATGATAGCAGGAAATTTCTTTCAGATTAACAGATCATCTCTGGGTAATGCTCTTCTGACCCCTTAAGAGTTCCACCTTTGCCTGTTTCTCAGCACGAAGAGAATCCTGAAGCAGGGGTTGGGATGGACAGATGGATGCACAGATGGTAGGAGAGGTGTGGGGGCTTTACCTGGGCCATGGAAAGCCTGGGTCCTATTTCTAGAGGGTTTCAGGTGAGACTAAAACAATGACAATGGCAATCCACAAGCCAGCCTTGTCCCAACAGCCCTCTTGAGGCCAATGGACCCTTAACCTGGCCATGCCTGCCTCCCACAGGTGCTTCCACCAGAGCAGACCTGTGATCTCCTTACAAAGCGGAGGGGGGATGGCTGAGGTTTGTCCTGCCAGGTCCCACACCCTGAGTGCCAAGGCCTTTGGTGCCCAGGACTTTCTACTCTCTGATCTGTTCTCTAGATTAGAAAAGAGAACAGGGCAGACACTCCCTCTGGCTAACACAACCTCATTTATGCAGAAAGCAAAACATGCTTTGCAGGTTGGTGGCTCTGTTCAGACACAGACTCAGGCATGGGGGAACCAAGAATCCAGCCTCCCTGCAAGTTGAGCTCAGGGCACGTCCTTTAGAGTTCCATAATGACTGCACTTCAGCTGAGGCTCACCAGCGAAGGGTGTGCGGAGGCCAACCAAGAGACTTGGGGATCTGGCAGGGGTGGAGCAGGCAGGAGCCCCACCGGTTGTGGGTTGGGCTCACTTGCAAGGGCCAGAGCAGGGACAGAAAAGCATGTCTACAAATCGTCCTCTCCGGGAAAACTCACACTCGATGGTACATGGCCTAAAAATCAGGAGCTGAACTGCAGCTTCTCCCATTTTAAATTACTCCCTAACCTCTCACCTGCCCAGAGAAAGTGCCCCACGTGAATCAAGCAGAGGACCAGCAAGACAGGGAGTCCTGCCAGTTGCCTTTTACTCTCTCCACTAGCAAAAGTGGGACAGTGAGCCCCCCTGTATTTGGGGGGATTTAGGAACCCAGAATTGAAGCCAAACACCTAATGTTAAAAGATTTCAAAGTTTTAATGGTAGCCAGAGCAGTGGTCTTCAGCATCACCAGGGATCCTGTTAAGTATGAGTATTCTTGGCCCTCCCCTAGCACCCAAAAATCAGGATCTCTGGGGCTGTGGCCAAGATATCTGCATTTTAATCAAACTCCCTAGGCAGCTCTTATGCAAAGTGAGTGATTAAATTCCTGTTCCCAGGATCCCCTCTATTATGTAGAATCAGGCTGTAAGGTGAAGCCCTGGACCTCTGAATTATTAACAAGCTCCCCAGGCAAATGTGATGAGCAATCAAATTTGGGAACACACGCTCAAGGGCAGTAATTGTACCCATTTCAGACAGGCTAACTGAGGCAAGAACTCAGTCATTCTCTTTATAAACGCATAAGTAGCTGATCTCTCTCCGCAAGGGACCTAAACCTATCCACACAGACAAGGGGATGGGTATGTTTTTAAAATGTAGATTCAGTTATTTTTCAGCTATGATGAGGCCACCAGATCAGTATAACTGCCACTGAAAATATAGTTTGCTACTCACAGTTCCTGCTATAGACTGTATTGTGGCCCCCACCCCCCAAATTCATATGTTGAAGCCTTAACCCCCCAATGTAACCATATTTGACCATATTTGGAGATAGAGCCTTTAGGAGGTAATTAAGGTTAAACGAGGTCATAAGGCTAGGGCCCTGATCCAACAGAATTAGTACTTTTTTTTTTTTAGATTTATTTTAGAGAGAGAGAAAGAGCATGTGCACAAGCAAAGAGAGGGGCAGAGAGAGAGGGAGAGAATCTCAAGCAGTCAAGCAGACTCCCTGCTGAGCGCAGAGCCCCATGGGGCAGCTTGATCTCTCCACCCTAAGATCATAACCTGAGCAGAAATCAAGAGTCAGACGCTTAACCAACTGAGCTACCCAGGCACCCCGGGATTAGTATCTTTTTAAGAAGATATACCAGAGAACTTACAGGCATGTTTGTGCTTTCTCTCTCTCTCTCTCCCCCCCTTCATCCTTCCTTCCCTCTGTCCCATGAGAGGATATAGTTAAGAAGGCAGCCTGGAAGAGAGTACTCACCAGAAATCTGCCAGCACCTTGATCTTGGGCTTCCTAGCCTCCAGAAGTGTGAGAAATAAATTTCTATTGTTTAAGCCATCCAGTCTGTGGTATCTGGCAACCCAAACTAACTATTAATACAGTTCTCAAGAGGAGGGGGCACACCCCATCACACCGGGCCACACAGGGAAGCACCAGGGCCGGTCAGGAGGCATGAGGGAACAAGGGGAAAACATGGGCCAGAGTCTTTAGTGTGGATTCTGCAGCATGGAATGGGTGAGGCAGAGCAGGCAGGTTTGGGATGGGCTAGTTGAATAACTTCAGTGGGTTCTGGGGTGTAGGAGCTGCCCCAAGCAGTCCAGTACTGGGCCCTGGCATGATTACTGCAGGGGAATAGTGGTCCTGAGCATGAGTGCCTGCTGGCACTGAGTGGGCTCTGGATCAGTTAGCTTGCATATGAAAGGTACACTCCTGGGTGAGTCAGCTAAGCTCTCTAGGACTTAGCTGGCCTTGGAGGGGGCAAGGACCCTGATGTCAAACCATCAGAATTACAGAAAGTAACAAGGCAAGATTAATACAGTGTGGAGAAAAAAAGGCCTAGAGACTAAAGACCACTGGAAAGAGGAGAGCACAAGAACAGACTGGTTAGGAAGACCACTGCTGATCTTGCGGAAGCAGGCAGCTCACCCACTGTCCCTCAAGAGCACATTTTCTGCCTACCTGCTGTGGGTCTTGGCACTCAGATCCTTTAAGAAAGCTGTCGTGCCTTCTCCTCTGGCATTGAAGGACACTGTGCAGACAGGACACGGGATCTCCAAAGCCCTCTGAAGGAGGAGCCCCTTGGTTTGCTCAGGAACATCTCCCACCACAAAGTAGTAAATGGATTCAATCTGCAAGACAATAGTACCCACGGTTTATCTCCCTGACGTACCCTAGCCTTGTATGGGACTCCCGGGCAGTATGCTTTCTACAAAACTGCCTTTGCTCCTGGGGGGGGCGGCAAGAATAGCGGCACTGCTCCAAGTTTTGTGAGGACGTTTGGGGACCAAAATCAGGAAGTGAGATATTCAAGGTCTGCTGCCTTCCACGGTGTTTGACCTCCCTGCCACTAACAAGTTCTGTGAACTTGGGCAAGTGACGTAAGTTTGGTTTCTTCACTTATAAAAAGGGAGGTAGTGCAGTGTACCTCGTGACTGAGTTTAAACAAGAGGACTTGCACTTATGCATGCATGTACCTCAGAAAGTTAAAACCCAGAGAGAGCTGGGAATCCCTATCATCTACACCTACCCCTTAAAACCCCCTAATTGACTGTTTCCACAAAAAACTGGGGAAGAATCCCAAAAAAATGCATTGGGTTTGAAGGGATAGATGTCACCATCCCCTTAGGGCTCATGAGCCTTTCTCTGCTCTAATCACAAATCCCTGCTAGCTGAAGGTAAACAGTCAGGTACCTCAGTTCGACCTCAAACCTGGGACTTAAACCCACCTGACGCAGAAAGAAGAGGACTTACGGTCAGCTGGGCCACCCTGTCTGCAGCAGCTAGGGCCGACTGTGCCCAAAGGGGCAGTGGGAGCAGGGTGGCAGAGGGCCTCTGCTGGGAGGGAGGCCATGGCCACAGTGGGAGCTGAGAGCAACCTACTCCAGCGACAACCTTCCTTCCATGGGGCTCGAAAAGGCCCACCTCACCTCCGTGACTCTTTCTCTCAGGCCTTTCAAACCCGCTCCCCGATTTTAAAAAGGACCGAATGGGAAGTAAAGACTGAGCAATGTTGTATATCTCTTTCGGCCAGTTGCCAAGAGACAAAAAATACTGAGAGAAGGAAGAAATGGTGCTCTCTACGTTCCTTATTAGGCAACTAATATTCTCCCAGCAAATGCATTCTCCTTCCCTTCTCCCCCCGCGTTACACAGAAGCTTGTGTGAGAGGCGTTCAGTAGGCTTCCCTGCACTGCACTGTTAGTGCTCCAGCTGGGTTGGGGCCCAAGCTTAGCACGGGGACCGGTTCACCCTCACATAAGGATCTAAAGTCACACGTGGCCCAAGACAGGAGATCAGACACAGGGAGTATTTTGTAAGATTTGTTAGTTCAACGGGGAGGTGAGTGAGGACAAACATCTCTAGGTGGTCTGTCGGCGGCTTCTGACATCATGCATCTCTGTTGCACGTCACGCAAACTCAGCTTCTCTGCTCTGGCAATGACCCAAGAGTCTGAAATCCTTGTGCAGAAATGTCTTTCCCTTGAGATTTCATCAAGCTAAAAATTGCTGTAGCCAGCAGTGAGCCAGGATTTCCTTTCCTTCACTCAGTCTCCAGGGTTATTCACTATTCATTAAGTTCATTTCTCAGCTGCTTAATTGCCTGTGTTTTCGGTTATCCGTGCTACGGATTTCCTGGGACATGCTCTACAATGAGACCACCTATCTCACCCCCAACCCCTCCTGCTCACTGCCTCCCTGCCTCTCCTTTCCACTCACATAATGACACTGAGAAAAAAGGAGAGGAAAGTAAATATGCCACCTAGCCCCACCCCCCACCAACTGGCAAAATGCCTTTTAAAGTGACGTGACTGTGGGGTCATCTGCTCTTTGCGATGATAAGTCAACATGAATTCTTTTATTCAATGCTCACAGAAGTCCTGTGGAAAAGGAATTCTTGTTATCACACCTAGTTTACAGATGAAGAAACAAAGGACTGGACAGGTTAATTGACCTGGTCTTTCAGCTAGTAAGTCCAGCTGCCTGACCCTATGAGCTTCTGCCTTTGCTTTCAACCACTTCATTCGGTCAGCTCATCATGGCAAGGCTGGTCACCTCTTAGAAACAGATGTGAGGGGCGCCTGGGTGGCTCAGTGGGTGTAGCGTCTGCCTTCGGCTCAGGTCATGATCCCGGGGTCCTGGGATCGAGTCTCACATGGGGCTCCCTGCTCGGCGGGAAGTCTGCTTCTCCCTGTCTTTCCCCTTGGCTTGTGCTCTCTCTCACTCTCTCTGTCTCAAATAAATAAATAAAATCTTTAGGAAGGAAGGGAGGAAGGGAAGGAGGGAGGGAGGAAGGGAAAGAGGGAGGGAGGGGAGGGAGGGAGGGAGGGACGTGAGTCCCAGAACTGTGCTAGCAAGATCCTGGAACAGGAAGGTGGCCAGAGACAGGCACTCTTTTCACTCCCTTGGCTCTCACACCATCCAAGGCTCCTAGCCCCTGATATCAACGTCCCTGACTAAAACCTGGGTGAGGTTGTATGGGCTCAAGGGAACTGTCCTCAGTGGAACCCTCTCCCCTGGCCCAGTAGCTCAGTACCTCTGAGTAACTCAGTAGCTCAGTACCTCTAAGTACCTCAGTAGCTCAGTAGCTCAGGGCAGGGGCCGAGCCTGAGGATTAGCAGCAGCAGCTGGGGCCAGGAGCAGCTTTCTCACTGACCAGCATTTCCCTAAACACTAATTTGTACTGAATTTGATAACACAAGATATAAACAATATTTGGGATTCCATTCGGCTATTGTACTGGGAATCAAAAACTCTTGCCACTTTACACTACATAAAAGAGGGTAGGGCGTTTCTGTTTCCCCTTGAAATGCCTTATTCTGTCTGGGTCATTAGCTCTGCAGTGTCCACGGCAGCCTGCATTCCGCCCAGCCAAAGAGGCCTTGACATCTTCTCAGACACAGATCTGGGGGAAAAGAAGAACCAAACTGGCAGTGGCTGCTTCCGCCCTGACTATCCGCTGCTGTAGCCTGTCAGAAGCCTCGGGCCATCAAAATCTCCACTCTGCAAGAATCAAAGTCAAATGAAAGGCACCCATAACAGCAGTGAGAGGTCTAGCAAAATTCTGTCTTGGTCTTCATAAAACTTTGACTGTTTCAACAGTTTTGACCAACTCCAGACTGTGGATCTGACTTCCAGATCTTCCCTGTACCTGTGGCAGCCCTTTCCTTATTCGGCCCTTTCTGATTTTCTGATCTCCAACCTCCCCCCCCACACACGGTGGTGACTGCCCTCTTGATGTTAATCCAGCTCAGTTCTCCAATCCCTCCTTAACACCCTTAACACCACCACCAACTTTCTGGCCTGCCAGGTTTCGGGGCCCCTGTCTCCACCCACTATCCCCACCAGAGTCCTACAAGGCTCAGCAAATCCACCTGCCTGGTCCCATGCAGACTACCACCCTTCAATTAAAAAAACTCAAGTCTGTACCATGGTGTGGGGAATGGGAACTTCTTGGACCCACATCTAGCCCCAACTTCAAGAATATCAACACTACTTCTTTCCCATTCCTTCAACGTTCAACATTTATCGAGCCCTTGCCAGGCACTGCCATTTCTAGGGACACAAAGGTGAAAAGATCTGATGCCTGGCTGAACCACTGCCATGCTTGTGATTAGCATGGCCAGCCCTTCAGTTTACTGTCCAGTGGTGAAGGTTTCTGATGGACTCACATAGGTCTGGCTCTAATTCACCCATTTACGCTCCCCGTGAAGAGGTTATTTTTTTTAAAGTAAACAAATGTGTGCCTACCAGCCGGATGGAAGAGAGGCTGAGATACCACAAAGAGAAACACAGGTACCCTTTGGGCAGGTAGCCTTCTGCTGAAAGCACAAGTAAAACCCCCTCAGTTAGCCTTCTCAGGCAGCTGGGAATCAGGGCTTTGGATGAGCAGCCTTCTCTTCCCAAATAACCTCTCCCATCTTGGATCAGCAGGCCTTCCAGGGCCTCCTGGCACAACACCCCTCCTCATTAAGGCCAGGGAAGCTACCAACTTCCCAAAGAAGCACCCTAGGACCAGAGGATACTGCAGAGCAGAAACCCAGGCCTGGACGGCATACCTGGGCTCTGAGGACAATGCCAGACATTGCCTCAGTATCCCACAGGCTGCCCTTCCAATGAGCCAGGCCCTTTTGCACAGGAGCCAACAGGATACTTCATCCATCAATAGTGCTCTCCATGTGCTGCCATCAGAGCTGGGACTCAAGCAGACCCCACACTGCCTGGCTCCTCTGGAGTTGAAGGCTCACCCTCAGTCACCCCTGCCTGTTCAGTCTCTGGCCTGACTATGGGTACAAAGCCCAGCTCTGAAAGAGGCCAGTAACCTCTGAGCATCCGCCTTACCCTTACCAAGCACATCAGTTAGCCCTTCCTCTTCATGTGGATTGGATACAAAAGCCCAACTTCCATGTTAATCTTTGAATACAAAACAATAGCCACTCTCTTGGTTTTTCTCAGGACTCACTCATGGGAGATGCTAACCCGAAGCAGGTTATCATCAGTAGCAAAAGTCTGGGTATCTAGATTTACTGTTCAAAAGTTTCTTAAGCTTTATATCTTTTCTATTTATAGAAAAAACCAGTTATGTGAATCAATTTGAAATTCAGTGGGGTGGGCATGAGGCACAGAGCAGAGGGGCAGCCCATTAGGGGAAGCCATTCCTCTCCCCATCCCCACACCTCACAAAACATAGAGCATGGCATTTTTATATAGGAGGCAGTTGCAGTTACTAGAAGTTTCCTAGGGACCACATCCAGATATAAGCTCTAGGAGGGAGGATAGAGTGGTCTGAGTATGTTTTATATTTGCCATACTCCATAGTCTCTTCTCAAGAATTTTTAAGTAGCATTTGATAATCAGTGCCTATTAACCTCTTTCTGAGTTTCTCCTCTTCTATAGGACTTGCCTGGAACTCACTAAATTGTTCCACATTTCCTGGGCTGGGGATGAATCCAAGAAAGGAGAAGCACAAACCAAAGGAAAGTAAAACAGAAAAATCAAAGGTCACTGGGAAATCTTCAAGTCATGGCAGGTCGCCAGAGTCAGCTATGACCGATGTAGCTAGGTGAACAAAGAAACAGAACACCTGAGAGTGAGTGTGTGTGTGTGTGTGTGTGTGTGTACATGCAGGCATGC